GGTTAGTTAGAATTAATATACAGCCCCTCACGAAAGTGCTTTACTAAGTTTATTTTTATTTATTTATTTATTTAAACACATAAATATTGATACAAGGAGCCACCAGATATATGCGCCACACAAATCTCATTTGATTTGTGTGAGGGATGTGATGCTGCTTAAGTGCCCAAACTGAAGCAGGTGATTTTCTTAGGGCCCCACACCCCGAGCCTTTGACCTAAAGGTCTGATTCACAAGGTAGTGGAGCATCGTGAGGAGAAGCAATCCCATGGTAGCCGGTCACCAACAATTGATTCATACGTCATTTGTTCCCTCAGGATACTGGAGCCAGCCCTTGTGTACCATTGGTTTGAAATAAGGGTTTTCCAACTCCTCTAGGTGGACTCACCGTGTCCACCAACCCGGTTAAAGCGCCGGACATTCGCTTTTCGCCCTCTTGATTTCGTAAACAACACCCCCGTTACGAGAAGGCAGTGAGTAGCACTTCCATGGCAGAAGCTATATACGCGTGGCCATGTGAGAGCATTTGGAGAGGGAGAACGGACTCTCCCCACTCTCGGCCGTACGAGGTCATTTGGGGGCGCTTTACTAAATAAGCATAAGTAGACTGAAAATTTACGAGTCCATTGATAGGGAGAAAAAAATTTGGAACGCATATTTCAAGCAGAAATAAAAAGGTATGTATGATGAAATGCTGAAACTAGTGGAAAATGAAATGCAAATATATACTATTTGAGTTATGGCCACCTACATTCTCCAACGATTGGTCACTGTAATGGACCCTATAAAGGGTCCTAATCAATCAGTCTGTATCTATTAACAAGACTCAGTCAAACAGTAAGTAATTTTATGAACTGATCCCATATCTCGTTTTGGACACCTCTAGCTTTCTGCTGACGTGATTTGAATGACTAACCATTTGAATCCTAATTAAATTATGTGAATATTAATTACGCTAAATTCTTCCAAGTTATATTTCGTATGAAGATGTTGTAGAGTCAAATAATTCTTCAATACAGTCAGCTTAGGAACTTCACCCCTACCTACAAGCAATCGTACAGAATATTATTTCCTAGTAACATCTTTTTTTTATTTCATTAGCAATCTGTAGATTTAACACATATAATTTGAATACATTGTTTAGATGAATTTCATGTTAGTCATGAGATTCTGACATATCAAGTTATCGTCAACGTAATGTATAAAAGGTTTCAAAGTTAAGTGATCGGTATTTTAGTGAAGCGTGCATTACTACACCATAGATAAAAGGGAACCAAGTGATCAGTTTATAGATGGCGTCGAGTCTCAGTTGACTACGATCACCACTACAATAAGATTACGCGCCCAAAAATGAATTGATTCCTTTGATAACTCGTAAACCAGAAGGCTTTAACTGATCCATATAGAGTATATTTATTTGCGATCTTGTGGTATCGAATGAATACCGAAACGCGCCAAAGATTACAGGCAAGAAGAGCAGAGCGTAAGAATGTCCGAACCAACAAGATGGACAGCGGAACAAGAAGTGATTTTGATACAGTTAAACAACAACAAGCACAGTAAAACAATCACTGGTACAATTTGTTATAATAATAATAATTGTTTCCATTATACCAATCGCGTTCTCATCGAGAAAGGCAGGTCACTACAAGTTCGTAAATAATTAATATTAACCTGAGAAAAGTGAATCCTACAACAATAGCCTATGCGCCAAATGAAAGATCACAATAAGGAGAATATAAGGATAAAATAATCCATATTCTTCATAATTATGCAATAAAAATGTAAACAATAGTTCTTCATAAGATAATTACATGAGTTACAACCTCCTCATAATTTGTTTCTTTATCACACCTATTTATGCAGCTGAGTTCAAAAACATGTTTGCTGTAAAAGATACTAAAACTGAAATAATGTAAAGATATAAAAGCCTTATTAGAATGATACAATTCCTATTTTCATCAGCTGAACAATGAAGATTCAATATAGTTAAACAGAATAGATCAACAACCAAGCAACAGGACCATATAACCGAAAATCTCTTTTTCATATTCAGCTTATTAAAGACCAAACGATCAATTTTTTTAAATCTATGTCATTTATAAAAGATTAGGTCAATTCTAAGATCGGTTACAAATCCAAAGTTCAAATATAATCTTGATTATTCATAAAGATCAAGTTGAAAAGGTCGATGAAAGAGAAATTGAACTTATGATTTGTAACACTAGAAAAACGAGGTTGACTAATCAATTAATATGTTATATTCAACAAGTTTATTGGTAGTTGATTTATTTTTAGACAATATATGAAATATGTTACTAAATATAAGAAATTGACAGCAATACTGATCGGCACTAGGTCTTAGTGAGTATTCAATTGTTCTGCCTTTAGGAATGGGCTAACAACTTTTTATTAAGTTGCCTAAATCTTACCAGCCATTTTAAGCAAATGTATAGTATCGGTATGAAGTGTATGGCTACTCAGCAAACAGCTTGGCTGATATTTAATTTATTTAAAATTGAATAGAAACAATGCATAACTGATAGGTCAGTAAGGTACATTATTTATTTATTTAAACACATATATATTGGTACAAAAGGGCACCAGGTACATATGCGCCACACAAAATAATGAAAGTAGGAAGAGAAGAGATGAAAAGATAAGACGGACTGAAATGTACAACTAGAAGACTCCTTCAATTAAGAAAGTTAGAACCACTCTTTATGTAGAAAGTAAAAGAAGGTTGCAGCAGGATCGCCACTGGCTTCTATTCTGAGCCATATCTGATAACGTCTCTAGCCACTGTGTTGCACCATCTCTCGGACCCCAACCAGAAAGTCGTGAAGGACCAACAGAAGCTAGCCCTTTACAGCTTTCTTTCATGCCACGACACCATGTCATACATGTCATACACAAATAAATGAAATGATGAATTCTATTGACGATACTATTCTCGGTCAGTAAGGTATCTAAAAAATTCATATCTGATGTAATATTTACTTGAAACAAATTTCAAGAATAGATCCACTGTTACTCCAATATGAGTGTCTTGCGAAATTGCTAGTGTCATGAGAAAGCTAATTACTAAATAGTATTTACTCTAACTATTCAAATCACTTTGGGCTTCTGCTAACGACCAACAGTAACATCTCAATCTTGAAAACCAGCCTCGTTTTCATTAAATATTATGTAAAGACATTTTTGTAAACCAATGGTTCAGGTAATATTGTTAGAAGCGCATGATCGACCGAAGCACAAACGGATAGAAAAGTCCAGTTATGGTGTTGGATATTTTGGCTAGAAGTGTAAAAGCCTGAGTATTGGAAATTAACTGAACCATGAATTAACATTTTAAGCTTTTTGGGCGATGAGATGGTCTTCCTCCCACAAAATTTTATTCACACTGCTGTGTATTCAAAGTAATCTTGATGTAAAATCCCTTTTGCCGCGGAAAAATTGTCTTGTTTTCGAATGTTTAGACTAGTTAAAAACGTGTATCAATTGTGTTTTTCTAAGTGCGAATTATTCCCAATCATAAATCTTTTGTTTTCCTCAGAGATTCCAGGGGCTCAGTGAAACGGAGTATTTGTTGTCGACTCATATTGCCAGTAAAAGTTTGTCTTCATTATCCTGAAAATTTACTCGACCATATCACTAGGCAAACAAGCCTAAAGCACTTTATCAACCTTAGTGAGAAACAGCAAAGATGCTAAGCAAAGTTGGATAAAAGCACCAGTTCAAGTCAAACTTCTGGATAGAAAATTACTAAAAGCTGGAAATCTTATCCGTCTCCACAAAACTAGCGTCTGACTAAATATAGACGAATGGAATATGACACTGTCAACACTGGAAGTTAACAAAGAGACGAAAACTTTATTTGACACAAGGACTACTTAGGACATCACTACTCTCTCATTTACTCTCACGATAATTCTTGATAGAAAACTAATATTTCCATCACCATGTAAAAATGCAGTCTTCTCAATTGTAGCACATTAAATCTTACACGGAAAGACGTTTTATGAAACAAGTGTTAATTTAATGTTATATCACTTGCATAATAAATCTAATTTGCATACACATCCATATAACTAATAATAAATTTTATTATAATTCTCAATTTCGTAAGTTGCTGATTGTTGAGATAGATTGTCCACCTTGTTGGTCATATTTCTTACGCTTTTATCCTTCTGATATTTCAGTAAATAGTTGAACAAAAATCTATTATAACATGCTTCTTGTACTTAGATATCAAACAGTTACACGCTTACATAACATTCTTAACTAGATTAACTAGATGCGAATAAACACTAATTTTTATCAAATAACTATCCGAGACAGGATAAATGCAGTTTACTGAGTAGAAATGGGGATAAAAAAATGAAACAAAAATCTTGTAGCTAATGAAATAAAAGTGCTTTACTTGGTCAAAGTCAAATAAAATCGAATATTTTCGTACTTTGTCGACTTAGTTCTTATTTTCACAACTCAATACCAAGTACATAATTTTGAATTTGGCTCTGAATAATACTTGAACTGTGAAGGCTATTGATACTATCCGGTTGCCCAAACTAAAACAAGTGGATCGGGGTGTGAACCTGCGAATTGATGGCTGAAACCTGAAAATCTTAACCACTGAGCCAGCACTCAAATAAAACAAATTGAACGAATATCCTGTGAAAGATAATTAAGTAAGTAGCTAAATATAACTTCAATTTAATTTTTATCCAGAACTTTTCGATAAGTGGAAAAAAACTGATACACTTTTATGCATATTTGATTAGCAAGTACAGAATAATTTTTAACATCTTTGGCAAAATGATGTTTGTGGTGATGGTCATTCAAAACGTTTGTTGGATGTAGACTAAAGAGAAATGAAATACGACATACGAATTAAGTTATAACAACATATGTGATTTACAGTATGAGAATCTTTATTATTTTAAGGAGATTAAAAATAAATTAAAATGAATACTAAAAATCAAGACCTTACACATATACAATACGAACTAAACTGTGAGTAAACGAACAAAAATTTACAAAGAGAACGAATTATCACAGTCCGGACGGACAAAGACAACATATTTATTGCACTATTATAAAAAATGTTATGCATTTTTACACGAGATAATCTAATCTAACATACGAATCAGCATGGATCATGAATACTGTTTGTAGGAATTGAACAAAACCTTTTTCGAGAATCAGTAATTGAGTTAAGTTTGGAAGTTGTAGGTGATGTTACCATGACTACTGTTTCATCAGTTACCGATAAGCTTGGCATGAGAAAACAATCCTGTTTACTGGGATCACAGTCAGCTATGATTTCAGGTAGTCTATAATCGAGATTTAAAAAAAGCAATAACTTGTTAAGTTGGTGCAATAAGATGTATAATATACTCCATGAATCTTGAAAAAAACACTAACTGTGCATTAATCCCAACAAACTTAGCTAAAATGCTAATGGCGCTATTTGGTTTTCCAATTCAAAATCAACTAATTCTAAGTCGGTTTTGTTCAATGTGTTTGAATGCCCATCTAAATATGAATGTGTTGCACAATCTGAAAACCCTGATCAAATAACATGCAAAACAACGACATCTTTTTTAAGATATATGATTGCGCAAAAGTTAATGTGGAACGAACTGCTAGTAGAAATCTGAAAATTTGTCAGAAACTACTTGGAATAGATATTTATTGACCAAGAACTGAAAGTATATCAAAGATTTAGCATTCCCCTACCTTATTGAAAGATTTAAGCGTAGTACGTGGATGGGAAGAAAATTAAGTAAATAGAAAGGCAACGATTTTACCTCGTACAAATGGATAGTAAGTGCTGATCAAGAAAAAGTTTGAAGTATATACTTTAACTGTACCTGCTCTTTTCTAAACAGCGGGAGGCAGCCTCCTTAGCCTTTTCAACCCTTTCTGACAATTCTTTAAAATAAATGCTAGCAGAAGCTATTTGTGGAGTGTCTTCACTACTAGGCTCAGATTTCTTTTTGACTGTAGACAACTCTATTGAATTATGGTGTATAAAAACCCTAGACTCAGATTGAAACTTGACAGGAACTTTTAATGTGGTTATGTTGGATATGTCGGAGCTCCACAAACGATTAATCCATCGTAACTTTTGTACCTCAGAACACTAGTAAGCGAAATATGTTTCTTACTGTTGTCCCAAATTGCACAGCGATTGACACGAGAGTATCTCCAGGTTTGACGTTGTAGATTTTATAAGGATTTTGTGAAGTATTCGTGGATTCTAGAGTCCCGTATTGTCTTTTAGGTCCACAGGACAAGATAGATGATCCTTCAGACATAAGACATAAGACTACTTAACAGATTTCCGAATGTAGCGGGGACCTTGAGAACAAAATGAAGTAGGTGATTTAAAGAATGTATGTAAGCAATACGCATATCGAACGAAAATTCGGATTTAAATAGTTTTAATTAGTTTTTAGAGAGAAACGTTGATAGCCTTTTATATGTTCCTGATGGATAGGCAGTGCTCACAAGTGAGAAAATGGGACCATATCTGTGTTTAAAGTAACTGGTTCTACGTTAAGCCAACATAGGTTATTCTGACTTCCGGAGGGACCAGTTTGGCCATTCTTCTCAAATCACATTTAACCTTCCCACTTATTCGCTTATTATTCTTGACAGCTTTTTATATTTTCGTATATGTGTTAATTGCTTTTGTAGTGTAGTGCTTCGTTAATCGATCGTCTTCATAACCGTTATTATAACAATCTGAACGGTGTATAATATCAGAAGACAAAGGGAAGCAGCAACTACATTTTTATTGATAAATAACATGGGCTAGAAGGCAGTGAGCACATTGGCAAATGTAAGCAAGCGAAGGAAAGATGACGCAGAGTGGAGATGGCTGGGAAGCCAACTCGTTATAAGCAAGCATTAAACAACATTTATAGTCAGGCTACAATGAATGACAGACATGTGATAGGTGGGATAAGAAGTGTGCATACACATACGCTCATATAAAAAAATAGTCAAGGTCAATAAGGGAATAATTAATATGATCAAAATATGACTCATAACGTTATAGGTGAATTGGCTTGTCCAGAAACTAGAATAAGCTATGTAGGTGTAATATAGTACACGACGTTACACTACTCCCCACATAGCTCCCCCCAGAGTGTCCGGAGGAAACACTGTTATGCAAAATAAACAAGGGGGAGGAGGTGTATATGCGTTCACAAACCAAAATTAAAGTATTAGCACATTAATTTGAAAATAACACTGAAATGGCATATGGATAACGTTAATAATATGTAGAGAGAAAAAATTGTACTATATCGAATAAGTTACAGTGTCAATGGAGGGGCGAGTTTATTAAACGAAAATGTCACACTTATGTGAAAATGTACATGAAAATTGTCAAAATGAGGACAGAAATGGAAATGTTGGCATGTGATTATGAGTAAATTAGTAAGCGTACAAAAAATTTAACATGCATTTATGTCGTCACTGTCCGGATGATAAAATAACATGTTTGTAAGAGCAATTCGAACTATCGTGAAAATAGAGCAATAAATTGTTTATGGGTATGACAGCGGAATAAATCGTGGAAATAAGTAATGTAGAATATAATTAAAATTGGTCTGTAGTGCCAATTGAATATGAGAATGAAGAACAGTGAAATATGATTTTCTGATAAGTCGCAGTAGAGTAAATAGAGTCGCTTAGCGATGAGTGTATCCGAATTTACATAACTGAAGTTTATGTGGGATAAGAAGTAATCCAGCCGTAGGAAGATGACTGCATCAACAGGTGGTATTGATTGCTGTACTGCAATTGATTATGATAATAAAATGCGAAATCAGCGTGCGCTAACGCTTGCGTTGAGTTATCGTTAAATATGTATTAGTAGAATGACCAGAGGAACAGGATAGTGACTGCTTAGACGAGATATGCGGAGTCGTATTCCTTTTTGGTCTAGAAGCCTAGCGTGGTTTGTGTAGTTAGAGGGATATGCGCTCAACCTCATTTGTTACGAAACCGTTTTAAGGCATGATAAAAATACCAATACATATGATTGTCGATGACAGCGAGTGAGACTGACTTGAATGTGACGAACAAGAGTGTATCTTTGAGAGACTAGCTCTAAACTCTATGTTCTGGTGTACAGTACAATGGAAATAAAATATTAATTGCAGTAATCGAATTGTGATTATCGGTGATGGATGATGCAGCATTCAGATATACATGTGAATGAATAAATAATATGAACATAATCATTACTAATCGGCTGGTAATGCGGCGTCAAATACTTGGTTTATGTATAGACATTAAAGTAGGGATCATCGTGAAACCAAAATTGCTGAAGCTCAGTTAAGGTTGTCGCGTAAAAAGTAGAAAACGACGATTGCTGAGTACCGATGAGATGTATGAACATCAGTTGTCTATCGAGAACATAAGTTCCTACTATCGGGAGTATGACTCCAAACTTATGTCTATGATAGAGTGTAATATTAAGCCGAAAATGACATAAAAAAAAATTGGAACGAACTCACCCGAATCAGGAAAAATTTTCGTCATTGGATAATAAAAATAATCCAGTGAGTTTCGAATATCATAACGTGTAATGTCCATATCATTATAATTTGTTCGATTAGTGATATGACTGCGTAAATGTCATAGTTTAATGTCAATACGAACAAAAATAATAATTCCACGTTAGATGATTATATGACATTATTGTAATAATGAGCATATGATGATTATTTGAATCATAACAGAATATGTCGTCGACGGTTCCATCTTTGGTTTGTGTTCGCTCGTTGCGGTCGCCAATTCTGTTGCGTGTTCCAAATACAGCTAACCAATATATTGAGTGTTCGTTCGGCGAGGCATCCAATTTTGTTACGTGTTCGCATGTAGGGCTAACCAATATGTAGCCGTACGTTGAGGTTGCCAACTTTGCTTCGCGTTCGTAATTCGGGATCGCCAATAGTGTTGCGTGTTCGTACGTCGGGATTACCAATATGTAGTGTAGTGCTTCGTTAATCGATCGTCTTCATAACCGTTATTATAACAATCTGAACGGTGTATAATATCAGAAGACAAAGGGAAGCAGCAACTACATTTTTATTGATAAATAACATGGGCTAGAAGGCAGTGAGCACATTGGCAAATGTAAGCAAGCGAAGGAAAGATGACGCAGAGTGGAGATGGCTGGGAAGCCAACTCGTTATAAGCAAGCATTAAACAACATTTATAGTCAGGCTACAATGAATGACAGACATGTGATAGGTGGGATAAGAAGTGTGCATACACATACGCTCATATAAAAAAATAGTCAAGGTCAATAAGGGAATAATTAATATGATCAAAATATGACTCATAACGTTATAGGTGAATTGGCTTGTCCAGAAACTAGAATAAGCTATGTAGGTGTAATATAGTACACGACGTTACACCACTCCCCACACTTTCCCTATTCATTGCATGTCTGTATTATATTTCTGTCTGACCATAAATATCGAGTAACACTTGGTTAAATCTAGGTTGCTCAATCGCCTTCTCCGCCTTGCGTCACTTTTTTCGTTTCTCATCACTCTCTTCACTTCATTTCTTTGATTGTCTGTCCGGACCAATGAGTTTATGAAATATACGTATTTAAAATCCATTCTCGTTATTGGCTTATTTTATTCCATCATTATCTAAAGCGAATTTAGTCAGTAATCATATAAGAGGGTTGACGGCATAAATACTTAACTGTATTCAGATATAGAGCAGTTAACGGTTTTCGCTCCTTGCGTCATGGAGTGCGATAATGGGGTTCTATGAGGATGTTTGAGTTCGGGGTCACTTGGAGTAATTATTGTGTTGCATGCTACTGTCCTGTTGCCTCCTGTCCTCCAGTAGACCGATCAGAATAAATACCAGTATCAGTACTTATCCTTGACTCCATGACCCACTTTATTTTTCTTATATGTATGTCGCAAAAGAGATTTATATCTCTTTTGAAGGAGGTCACAAAGGAAATTGTGAACCTAGAGGTGAAACCATGTGCACGCTTTCAGAAGTCCTGTGAATGATTACGAGGTGGAAGTAATAGGTCGTTTTCGTACGAAGATAAGAGTCGCACTCGTTTTGGCTATTTTCTCCATGAAGTTTGAGCTGTTTTCTAAAACTTATGTAGTTAATAGCCTTTTATAACGCTCTGTGGAAACAAGTGAGAGGGAATTATCTCAAGGAAATAAAGTGGTTTGTGCTTTGTCGGTGAAATTTTTTGTTATGTCCTTGTGGTGCGTTTACGAATCCTCTTCGTTTCTTACGAACCTCCACACATTCACGTTATCAGCCTAGGTAAGAGCCGCTGAGATATTTTTATTTAGAAGATTGTTAACGAGAATCAAAGGGAGTAGTGGGTTGGAAAAGATACATGGTTAATTCCTGGTGTCCAGTACTTCCAGTTAACACGCACTCTGCTTATCTTCATCCAGAGCATTCAGTTCTTCGATCAATTTTTGAGCCAGAATTAAAATGAGTCAGAATAACCCATCCTAACAGCTTTTATTGTGAGGAAGATGTGCATTACTGTAAAACGCTGTGGCAACGCGTGAAACTATTACATGAACAGGTATCATTCTGTCGCGGAATGTTGTTTAGCTATCCTATCCTGGGACCTACTTTTTCTGAAGCAGTTTTGGGCCAAGAATCTTATTGTCTTTTCAATAGTTTTTCTTCATTTGGCTATTAATCAACATTAATATTACCTTTGTTAGTGCTGTGCCATGATCACAACTAACCATCTGTGTTGGTACATGGACATTCTCAACTGGAAGCTGATCACGAAATTCTGGCAGGTTAAGTCAACGAAACCATCCAACTTCTCCTCATCTCACTGTGTAGATAACATGTTTAGTCCAGCCTATACTTTTGACGACTTCCATGAGATTATCGCAAAACGGTCTCTAGGTGTCACACTTTGTTTACTGTGATTTGAGGATGGGATGTTAATGACTACGTATAGGGGTATCCGTTCACACCCTTAGTGTGGTAGTAGTAATGTTTGCAGGAAAGTTGTTATGGTTCTTGGATATATTGGCCGTCTCACCTATTTTCCGTTAATTTTTACGCACATTTTTGGACAGTGTTAAATCAAGACACGAGCCAAGCCTCTATGAGTATCGGATTCTTACTAAGGACGAGCACGTAATAGAATTACGTTTTGTATTCTTCTAATGCAGAAATCAGTATTTCTGAACGACCTGTTTTGAATCGCCTTTATTCCTATTTTTTGTTTTTCCCACCAGTATTAGAAGAAAATAGAATCTTTGCTGAGTAGTTGTAATTGATTCTTAATGAGATACTCAATTTTGG